CTCATAAGATATGCAGCTCGCTGCTACCGACCCCCAAGACCTGGGGGCCCCCCTGAATACTTCAGGGGCCCCCCTTAAGACACTGGGGGGCCCCCAGGGTACTGTGGGGCCCCACAGGCCCCACAGGGTACTGCAGGGGGCCCCACAGGGCGCTGTGGGGCCCCACAGGGTACTGTAGGGGGCCCCCAGGGTACTATGGGGGGGCCCCTGGATCCAATAGGGGCCCCCCTATGAAGAGCAGCTCATATTATTTAGGTGTTTCTGGGGGCCCCCGTAGATTTAAAGAAGTAGATATGAGTTTAAAATATATTAATTAAATATAAATTAATTAATTATTTCAAGACAAACTCAGAAAAAGAATACAGGGGAGATGTACACAAACCCCTGGGGGGCCCCGCAGCAGAGAGACTGCAGCAGCAGCAGCAGCAGCAGCAGCAGCAGCAGCAGCTGGGGCCCCCTTATTCTTCTTCTTTGTTTGTGCTGCAATAAATATATTTTAATTGATTTTTAAATTAATAATAATTATTTATTCATTGACTAATCTACAAGAAGGAGAGAAGTCCTACCATCTCTCCCTTCAAACCCTAAACCCTAAACCCTAAACCCTAAACCCTAAACCCTAAACCCTAAACCCTAAACCCTTAATCGTGATTTTTTGTTTTTCTCTATGGAAGAGGAGAAGTGGGAGAAGGCCCCTGGCATGGGGTTGGGGGCCCCTTCTGCTGCTGCTGCTGCTGCTGCTGCTGCTGCTGCTGAGGCGCCGTTGGTGCTGTCTGTATCTCCTAGGACAGAGCCCTCTCCTTTTATTGAATTTGCTGCATCTCCCCCTCAACTGCCTTCTCTTGAGCAGCAGCAGCAGCTGCTGCTGCAGCAGCAACAACAGCTGCAACAGCAGCAGCAGCAGCAGCAGGGCGCTGCTGCTGCAGCTGCCGTTCCCCAGGTGGGTGCAGCAGCACACCATGAATTTCTGCCGCCACTTGTCGCTGCTGTACAGTCGCTTCCTGCTGCTGCTGCTGCTGCTGCTGAGTTGGGTGGAGGCGATGAGGCTTCCGCCGTTGCTGCTGCAGCAGCAGGTGCCGCAGAAACAGCAGCAGCAGCAGCTGCTGCTGCAGGATCGCAGCAGCAGCAAAGACAAAGGAGGAGACTGAGGCGCCCACTGCAGCTTGATGAGAGCGAGGAAGAAGCACTTGAGGAGCAGCAGCAAGAACAGCAGCAGCAGCAAGAACAGCAGCAGCAGCAAGAACAGCAGCAGCAGCAAGAACAGCAGCAGCTGCAAGAGAAGCAGCAGCAACAAGCTGCTGCCTCCGATAGCAGCTCGCCAGTACCCAATTCCTTCCTGGCTGCAGCCCAGCGGCTGTTGTTGCTGCAGCAGCAGCAGCAACAGCAGCAGCAGCACGCGGTGAGACCTCCCCGTGCGGTTCTCCCTCGGCTGCCTCGTTCGAGCTCATTGCAGCAGCAGCAGCAGCAGCAGCAGCAACAGCAACAGCAGCAGCAACAGCAGCAACAGCAGCAATCGCGCTTCCGCTTTGTTCCAAATATTTCTGCTGCTGCAGGCCCCCGCACAGCAGCAGCAGCAGCAGCAGCAACAGCTGCTGCTTCTGAAGGGACAGAATTATCGCTCACAGGAATGCTGCTGCACGGCCTGCCGCTGGCGCAGCAGCAGCAGCAGCAGCAGCAGCAAAGGCAGCAGCAACTGAAACGCCGTGTTGCAGCAGAACAAGGCCGACAACCGGTGAAGTCGGAGCAGCAGCAGCAGCAACAGCAGCAGCAGCAGCAGCAGCAGCACAAGCGGCAAGTGCAGTTCCAGAGCGAAAGAGCGGCGCTGAACCAACTGGAAAAGGCAGCAGCAGCAGCAGCAGCAGCAGCAGAAGCGCCTCCCCCGCAGCAGCAGCAGCAGCAGCAGCAGCA